AGAAAAGAGATATCCTAATAGAAGGAGCCATTATAGGCTTAAAGGGAAATCAGCACTAGGGAAACATCTAGAGATCTACAAGGATGACCCCAACTAACAATCTAAGCAATAGTGGAGAGGCTACCTCTTCCCTGATAATGAGATTGATGACTACCTTATATGCCATCCTAGGGCCTTTATACAGTAGCTGATGGAAGCAGAGGCAGACACCCACAGCTAAACACTGAGCTGAACTCCTGGAATCCAGTTGCAGAGAGGGGGTGATGAGCAAAGGGGTCAAGACCAGGCTACCTCAGAGACAGCTGACCTGAACAAGGGGAAGCTCATGGACCCCAGTCTGATAACTGGGAAACCAGCATAGGACCAACCCAGACCTCCCGAACGTGGGTCTCAGGAGAACTGGACAGTCTATGGGGCCTCTGGTAGTGGATAAGTATTTATCCCTAGTATATGAATGGACTTTGGGAGCCCATCCCACATAGAGGGATACTCTCTCAGCCTAGACACATGGGGGGGGGGGCTAGGCCCTGCTCCAAATGATATGACAGACTTTGAAGATCTCCCATGGAAGGCCTCACCCTCCCTGGGGTCCAGAAAGGGGAGGGGATGGGGATTGGGGGAGGCAGGGTGGAGGGAAGGGAGAAGACACTGGGATTGACATGTACAGCAAGCTTGTTTCAATTTTAAATAAAAGAATATTATCAAAAAATTCTAAAGTCTTTGAAATATTCAATATCTCTCTAGAAAACCAAGTTTCTACAACTCTGAAGTCTCTCTGAAACTTCAAATTCTCTCTATAATTACCAAGTTTCTCTAAAATATCCAAGGCCTCATAATTGCGGATTTCTGTAAAATCAAGACAAGTTAAGTATTTTCTTATTTCAAGAGTGAATAATCAGGGCACAGTCACCAACCAAAGTTGCAAAACCAAAGTACAACAGTGTGAAACTCAGTGTCTGACATCTGGGACTCATGATCTTCTAGGCTCCAAAGCCGGAGCAGCTGCAGGTCTCAGGCTCTGCAATCCACAGTGCACATAGCTTGCCTCACAGGCTCAGCAGGCTCCACTCCTGCTGTTGTTAGTGGTCCTCTCTTGGTACAGGCATCTCCAAAATGCTGGTGTTTCCACTGCGCCTGGGTTACAGCTTCACCAATAGCCTCTCCTGGGCTGGTAGGGTCTCTGGCCTGCCACATGGTGTCAAACCTCCATTTCTCTCCATGGCCACTCCAATCCTGGGGCTTTTTAGTGCAATGGAGGCTTCACTTTCAACAATGGCCTCTATTGTGGAAAAATTAAGATCTGGGGAAACAGATAGGCTGAATAGATGTTTATTCAGGGAGAAATAACTTACAACAGAGACAGATGAACACCAGCAGGTTCCAGTCCCAAGGATGCCTCCGGATGCTCTCCCTCCAGGAAACAAGAGAAGGCTTCAGGGTTCCAGACCCCAGACCTTGTTCCTCCATGTAGTCTGCTCCTGCCTCCACCCCAATGGGCGTGTTCAGTGGAACAGGTGCTGGTGGGTGGATATCTCACTAAGGCCTCTCTCCTATCCTCTCACAGTGCCAAGCCTCAGCTGCTCTCCACTAGCCTTCAAAAACCGGTACCTACTGGGAGACTGTTACTTATCACCAAGAGCAGCTGCCAGCATGAGGTACATCCTTGGCTGCCTCTGGGCCACATCTGCTGTGTGCTGATCTGAGGAGGAAACACTTCACAGATGTCACCTCAGTGATGCTGGTCTCTTGGTAATCACAGCCGATTCTTCAGCCCCAGCTGACTAGTACTGATAGTCCCAGCAAAGAACCATGTTAGTGGTGCTGGTTTCCTGTTAATCACAGCTAATTGCTCAGCTCCAGCTGACCCAGAGCCACAGGTTCTTAAGTCTCAAAATACTGACTGACTCTGATAAACCTTTCAGGGACTCTCCCTCTGAGCATCACCATCCTAGACTTTATCACTGGCACACTACTCTCAGCATTACCTTCTAAGTTCTCATAATCGCTCATTAAATGAGTGCTGGTCACTCAGTGGCTTTTCTAGCACAAAATTCCAAAGTCTTCCCACAATCCTCCCCTAAATGCATGATCTGGTCTTTCACAGTAATACCCCATGCCTTGGTACTAGTATCTGTCTCGTTAGGGTTTCTATTGCTGTGATGAAACACCGTGACCAAAGGCAATTTGGGGAGGAAAGGGTTCTTGCACATCGTAGTTGGTCACTGAGGGAAGTCAGGGAGAAAACTCAAGGCAGGAACTTGGAGGCAGGAACTGAAGCAGAGGCCATGAAGGATGCTGCTTACTGGCTTGGTCCTCATGCTTTGCTTAGCCTGCTTTTCTATTCATACAAGTGAGGACCACCTGCCCAGGAGTGACACCACTCAAAATGTGCCAGACTTCTCACATCTAGTGTGTGTGTGTGTGTGTGTGTGTGTGTGTGTGTGTGTGTGTCTTTGTTCCACAGACTTGCCTACAGGTAACCTGGATGAAGGTAACATCAATCATATATGTGTGCGTGTGCGTGCGTGCGTGCGTGCGTGTGTGTGTGTGTGTGTGTGTGTGTGTGTGTGTGTGACAGACTTGCCTACAGGTAATCTGGTTGAAGGTCACATCAATCATAAATGTGTGTGTATGTGTGTGTCCCACAGACTTGCCTACAAGCAAGAGGGATGAGAATATATAGATCATTAGACCCGATTGCTTGTTGATTCTTTGCTGGGAGTTTCGATAGAGCTTTCTGTGCCTGTGTGTCCTGAACTTTATACCTATTGACAAGTTTTCCATGAAATACCTTCACAGTAGCATAGCAGCCACTCCCTGATCTAGAGGCCAGTCTTGTGTGTCAGATGAAAGATGTCTCTACCCTCCATCCCTCTCTTGCTCCCTTTCCCCCACCTCTCTCCTCTCCCCCAGGCCCCCTTTCTTGTCCAGAGTTGTTCTCTTTGACTGTGGACTTTGGAACAATGCTACACAGCCCTAGAGATGGATACCAATTGCTTTGGTGCATTCTGTTTCTGTCAAATGCACTAGAAAGGAAAACACAAACACACACTGTTAGGTGGCTTTGATAGAGTATCAGAGGATTAGCCTGGCCATTAGTTTTGAATTTGCATTGTAGATTGGTTGTACATTAGTCTTTAGGAAAATGTTATCATAGCACACTTCATTCTTCTGTTTGCCAGTTTCTTTGCCCTCTCACTCTTGCCTCCATTTTCTGAAGAATATTCTTGGTCCTAGACAACACAGCTGTGTGAATGGCTTCATCTTCCTTCTGCTGACTTTCCTTGACTATAAAATGACTCCATGGTAGGAGAATTACCTCACAACAGCAGATAGCCAACATTTACGTAATGTTATGTGGCACAGGAATCTCTTTGGTGTATTTTTTTTTTCTTTTCTACTTAGGCAGCCTTGTGAGGTAGGCGTTACCAAAGCCTTGTTTCCAGAGAGCATGGAGCCCAAGGTTCTTGGCATTCCCATCGCTGCAGAGCTGGCTCATCATGACCACTATTCTAAATTCCATGTGTCACTTATCCCTGGCCCGTATCTTATGGTTTAGATTCTTTCATTGAATTTGCATTTTACTGAGAGCAAATGGAAGTGTGTATAATATCTATATGTCTATTGCATGAACTATGCAAGAGAGCATATTTATTAAATAAAATTTGAAGGCTTCTCTAATGTATTGATCAAGTGACTGCTATATTTACTTAAAGGGTTTTTCTTTTCTTTTCCCTCTCCTTCCCTTCCTTTGATCTCGTTCTGTAGCCCAGGCTGGCTTCGGACTCTCAATATCCCTGCCTCTCTCTCCGTTAGTGCTGGGATTACAGGTGCACTTTACTATACCCGGTGTATAAAGAATCTTGATATGTGTTGGCTGGCAAGTGCTTCCCTTTCAGATTTGTTTTCCTATATTGTTTTGCTTGCATGAGTGTTTCACTGCATGCATGTCTGCGTACCTGCTGCGTCCTTTTCTCATTTTCTCTGGAGGGGTGAGTCTAGCAGTGGTCTCACAGGACCCTCCTCCTTCGGAGAAAGGCTGGGTAGTTTTATAGACTAAGTACTCAGAGAATCATGTTAGGCAAGGTAGGAGAAAAAGATATGAAGTTGAGATAGAAAGTTAAGTACCTTAGATGTGAACATCAACTCTGACTTCATTCTAGGGAAATAACCTAATGAGTTTTGAAATGTGCCAAGGAGAGATAAAAAGAGAAATAGAATGAAATTTAACTCTGCAACTTCCAATCTGTATACACTTGGGGGAAATGACTTGGGATTAGTTTTGTAAACTATGGAATAGACATATTAATGAATAACTTGAAGAGGCTAACAGAAGCAGCTATTAGAAACCCTGTTTGATAGCATACCAGGCATGCCGGTTTGACACAGGTTTGTCTCTGTGGCAGACAGCTGAGAAAAAGTTTAATGGAGGAAGGATTTATTCTGGCTGTTGACTTCCGCGGTCTCAGTCCATGGGTAGCCGGCTCCATTGCTGTGGTCTCTGATGAGGCAGAATGTTGTGTTGGGGGTGTGTGGCAGAACAAAGTTGCTCACCTCACTGCATTCAGGAAAGAGAGAAAATGACTGTGTTACAGGTTCCCCTCCTCCTCTTTTATTCCACACAGCCCCTGGCCTATTGGCTGCTGCAGCCCATGGTAAGGGCAGGTCTTTCCCCTTAGTGAATTCTCCTGGGCGATCAACTCAAACTGAAGATTGAGATGCTCTTCATGGCATGCTGCAGTGCATAGCTGCTTTCTGTCTCCCTTCCCCTGCACTATGTGAAATGTCAGACACATGTTTCTAGGGCCTGCAGTATCTCACCTGGGGTGAAAGTAGCCTGCACCCAATAAGCGTGGTGCTCTGCAGGGGTGGGTGTAAAGCCTTGAGGCTCCAGCATTTACCTCCAGGAGTGGTTTACCTTCCTTCCTCTTCAGTTGTCTGTATCTTGATGACTTGGCCAGGTGTCCTTGGTAACTTTGTACCCTGTCTCTTTCTTCTAGAACTCTGAAGGTGGACTCTATGTATGCATGAATACATTTTTGGCCTTTGGAAGGGAACACGTTGAAAGACATTTTCGAAAGACTGGACAGAGCGTATACATGCATCTGAAAAGGCACATGCGAGAGGTAAGAGGGATGTTTGGAGAGAATCCTGCATGCTTCCTCATAGGGAATTTCCTGTACCTCAGAACCCCGAATTCACTTTGGCAGGAAACCACAGCAGTTTGTAGATACCCAGGGTTTCCCTCCTAGCCCAGTCCTTGCCTTTGCCAGTTAAGAAGCTATGTGGCTGATTGATTGGAAGAAGTAATTTTAAGTTTAAAAATAGGAAAAAGTACAGATATAATGCATCCCACTGTTTTCTTTAAGTGAGAGAAAAACTTTCTTGAAAGCATGGGACATGTACCAGTGCAGAAGAGAATGATTTCTCTCCAGCAGCTGTCGACAGATGGCCGCTCCTCAGTGAGCGGTGTGGCCTGGAGAGCACGTGCTTCACCTGCATTGTAACTCACTCCGGCTGGCTTGCTCTGGTGAAGGTCTGTGCAGCTCCTTACTGCTGCCGTGAGCAGATGAGGGCAATGCCAAGCCAAGTCACAGCCCTGCTTCCTATTCTCCAGCTCTGACATTCTTTCTCTTCTTCCAGCATGTGCCCTCATCCGTGGCGGTGAAGGGTGGATAAAGATGCCGCACTTCTGGTTGAGTGTTCAGTCTCTTACTGGACACTTTAACTGGTTGTGGATCTCAGCATTGACTGATTGCACACTTCAGAAAGAAGTTTCTTTGGCCAAGATTGAGTGTAGTCTAGGTTTGTGTATAAACATAAACATTAGAAAGCAGTAACAACATGACCATTTAGCAAAATAATAATGGGGCCTATGACCTCCCCTAGCAATGGGCTTTTAACTAGGGTTACAGTATCAGGCATAAATTTCTCTCCTATGAAACAGGCCTCAAATCCAACCAGAAAGCATTTAGTTACCCTATAATTATCATGCCCTTATTGTACCAGTAGGTACATCTTACCTAACAGGTTGGTTTTCCCTCATGTGGTGTCTAGCATTTAGTGAAAACAATTATTTCTTCGCTTTCTCAGATGCTGGTCCAGGAATTGTGACATCTAGCCAGTGGAGAGGATGGTTCCTAGTTTGTTTGATTTCTCTGTTTCCTGCAGCCAGATTGTGTGGCATATTCAGCAATAGGATCTTAATATGCAGTTATGGTGGTTGACCAAGGTCAATAGCAAAAACCTGTGCTATTTTGGAACCTCTGGGGGCTCTTGACATTGCACTTAATAACCCATGACGTTTAGGAGTGGTGTTGTCCTCCAATGCACAGTAATTGTGTTTGAACTCTTTTTTAAAATTATATATTGAAGTTAGATTACTAACTAGTAGGTTTCCATACAAGGCTTTTTCATACATCCTTCATTTTGGTTAACCCACCCTATGTTCTGGGATTGTAGTTGTGTGCTGCAAGGCCAGCTTATGTAGTGCAGGGGATTGACCTGAGGGCTTTGTGCACGCCAGGCAAGCACTCTGTCATCATTGGCACCATATCCCCAGGAACTAGGGCCCCCATTCCCACAAAGTGACCATCACTCACTCTCATTGTTATTTTCTGCATATCATTATGTCTTAGTGGCATTTCTGTATGGATAGTATGTAGTATTACCGTTCCGGACTAGTATTTGTAGGGCTGTAATTGGAATCAGCTGATCAGCCTCAGGTCTGTTCCTGAGTCGTGTGGATGAGGGAAAGGCTAGCTATAGACGATAAAAGACAGAGACATAGGATAGTGTCAGAAGGGCATATTCAGTCCATACTGAATGCACCCCAGCTTATTCAGACACCATCTTAAGTAACCAACCAAAGTTGGGGACAATGGCAGAAGACTTCTAATATCATGTATAAAGGGCAAATAGTAATTACTTCTCTTAACCCTAAAGACACTCCATAGCTGCACATATTACCTAGCTTAAGGGTGAGTGTAAACCCATCTGGGCCCAATTCTATTGTTATTTAGATAGAAACCATTCACCACCAAGTGCTGGTTATCCTGCAGCCATTAAGCCAATGTCTTAGAGACATTAGGAGTGATTTAAGCTCTCTGAATGTGTGGCAAGATGGAATGGATTCCATATATGGGTCCCGACAACTCCCCCTTCTTAAATAAAATAATACCTGTGCTTCTGCAACAGGACAGATGACTGTACCTATCTTAGGTCACCTTCTTCAACCTACCAATGCTTTTTGGTCCTCGGACCACACATTCTGTCATGTGCAACCTGTCTTAGGTTGCCTGGAGGCAAGAGGATCTTATCCACTCCCGGTTATCAGCCTCTGTAACAAAGAATGTTAGGGGGACAGTGCATAGCTCAATGCCACGCTCCTCTAAGCCAACTTTTTGTTGAGAGTTCACAAACGAGCTTGTCAGTGCTAGGTAACATATACTTTTATGGCTACCATATCTCCTGCAAAAGGAGAGGATGAATCAAGTTAAAATGGCCTTTTGAAATTGGTCTGGGGTGTCTCAAATGGCTTTGGTTATATCAAAATCTAAATCTGCCTTTCTAATCACATTGTACTCAAAGATTCATAAGCATCACATCAAATTCCCATCAGAAAGAGTTTTGACCTCTTACATCCATAAACACGTAGCACAACAAAGGTTACAGACATTAAAATTTCCAGTATGATTAGTAACAATAGGCATACAAATCGACTGGATTACAATTCTCATAATTTCAATTCGATCAAAGGACAATATATGTTCTCATGATGGGCAGAGTATGAATAATGCCACAATTCTGAACTTTTTCCTTTTCCCTATCTAAAGTCCAATGCTTTGCTGCTTGTAAAGTTCAAAAATAGGTTTGAGATACCACAGTCCTTGTGTGCTGACTATTAACTGCAAACTTTTGTCCATGTCCTGTTCAAATACTGAAGAGGGGTTTTTGCCACACATCACGTTCATAATAGTGTTCAATTGTCCTAGATGAGTCCTTTTATTCTCCAAAGGGGAAAAACTGGCAAAACGAGTTTCATGTCTCAAGATGTGTGTAGTTAACTGCTAAAAGATGGGTCCTTGGCTGGATCCAGGATGAAAACTCACAGGTCTGGGCAGTCAATGCTGCAGGCTTGTTGAGAAACTGGAAATCTTGAACTGACTGTTTCCTTTCTTTCTCGGACTGTAGAATTGTGTGACGTTAGGGGGTCAGGAACACAGCTTCAGCAGGCTTGGGCAGGCTCCCGCAGTCTCGGGTCTGGTTTTCCTCTGCTCCACGGGTCCCAACATATGTTTTAAAGATATGGTTGCATGCCATTTCACTCTCACCTACAATTCTGCATAGCACCTCACTGCTAAATGTTGTTCTGGGCTCCTGAGATGCTGAGATGCCTGTGGATTTATTTACTTCAGAGTAAGAGATGTTTAGTATTTTCTTCTTGAATAATCTGTAGGTTTCTTCCTTCTCCTATTGCTCAACATTTAGATTGCTTCTGTTGCAACAGAACAACAGTGAACATTTTAACATATTTTCTACAGAAACCCTGTACCAACCTTGTAAGAAACTTACCTAGTGATTCCACTGGCCTGTGGGTGCCAACCTTCATTTTTGTCAGGAGAAGACTAATTCTTCCTAGTGTGCTTTTGTCAGTGTGTCTTCCTGTCTAAGTGGTGAGGAATGTCTGTCTGTCCACACCCTTACCATTCCATGGCCAGGCTTTCAATCTTTGGCAGTCTAATGGTTGTGAAGTGACATAAACATATGTGGCATTTCATTCTGTGATGATTGAATATTTTCTTATATAGTTATCACCCATTTAGAAAATTATGATTATCATTGAATGTTATCTTAGTTACTTTTCTGTAGTTACTTTTCTATTGCTGTGGAAAGATTACATCTGATTCATAAAAGGCTGAGAGAGAGAGAGGGCAGAGAGAGAGGAGAGAGGTCTACTCCCAGTGACGCACCTCCTCCAAGTCCATAACTCCTAATCTTTCCCAAAACAGTTCCACAGGACCAAACATTCAAATGTGTGAGCCTGTGGTGATCATTGTCATTCAAACCACCACAGACAGGTTTGTGTGTATGTGCACATGTGCATGCGTGCATGTAGAGATCAGAGGACAACTTTTGAAAGTCAGTTTCTTCTTCTACCATATGTTTCTGGACTCCAACTCAGTACTTTTACCCATGGAGCTATCTCTGGCCCCTTACCTTTTGTTACCATTTTATTTTATTTATTTATTTATTTTTTACTGTTTCTGTTTTCCAACCTTACATTTTGTTACCATTTTTATTTTATTTTATTGCATATTATTTCATTCTCTCCCACCTGCCGGTTCCCAATAACTGACTCAGAGCCTGAATGTGAATTATAAATGCTTGGTCGATAGCTCAGCCTTGTTACTAGCTAACTCTTACACTGAAATTAACCCATATTTCTGTTTATACTTTGCTTTGTGGCTCAGGGCTTATAACCTCATTTTTTACACATCCTGCCTATTTGGCAGCTGGTTGGCATCTCCTCTTCCCCCTTCCTCCCAGAATCCTCTCTGTGATAGATTGTCTTGTCTAGTCTCTTCCTGCCAATTGGACAATCAGATTTTTATTAACAATGAGAGCAATGCACATTTTCAGTGTATAAAGATTGTTCCACAGCAGATTGTTGCTATTGGAGCTTTCAAATATCCACCTTATATAGTGTCAATTATATAGTTAGTCAATTCTGATTTGTGTTTTACTTAATTTCCCATGTCACCCTACCTGATATATTGAGAAGTCACAGTTTAAAAGATAAGCTTTGAAATACTTGATTTTATCCTGCTGTTATGTGGCTTACATGTTTCTTCTGTTGTTGTCCAGTATAATTCTTACAAAGTTCACATCTTAGTGTGAGGTGATGAAGATAAAACTGAGGCCCAGAACATCTGCTTGGTCTGGGTCACAGAACTGGCAGTGGCACTGTGGACTGCCAGTGACTTCATTTGTGTAATTCTGCATCTTAGCTTTTAAGTTAGGCATTGCACTGTTTGGTGACAGCCTGCATTCATTTTTGCCCTTTTGCTTGTGTGTTCCTATTTTGATCTGCTGTTCTCTGGGCTCCAGGCCTCTAGGCCTGTCACTTGCTCAGCTTGCCTCTTATGACTCATGGCTTAAAACACTATATCAACAACAGTCTCCTTAGCTGACCCCTGCTTAACAATGCTCCAGATGTTATCCAGTTGATGCATTGGTGCTTCCAAGTGCAGATGCTGGGACTCTCCCACCACTGTAGGGTTTGAGATGTTATTAGTCTATTTTGTGTTACTATCACAAGGCAGACCAGCTTTATAAAGAAATGAGATGTATTTACCTCATAGTTTGGGGTCTGAAAATCCCAAAATCATCGTACAAGTCCTGATTAGAGCCCCATGGAAGGCTCATGGATGGCAGAGTGTGTGTGAGGAAGTCACATTATGAAACAGGATGCCAGAGAGACTGTGATTCCACAGCTCCTTCTGAGGATGGACCTTGATATTCCAAATGGCCTCGTTTTCAAAGTTCTCACCATTGCCTGATGCCATGCAAAGGACCAAACTTAACACATGAGGGGAGGTAGGAGACACATTGTCTAAAACTTAGCAGTGCAGTACCAGAGTCCTGGCCTGGCACTATTGTTAGGTTCCCTCACTTGCTGTGTCCTCTCCCGCTCTTCTGAGTGGCCACTGAGCATCAGCTGCTTCCGCTGGTCTTAGTAGAGTGATGTGCCATTGCGTTTAGACTTGGACTCTGCAGAGACCTGTGACTGTGCCTCATGGGACTCATTTCTGACCTTCTGCAAGCTACCTGTGGTTTTCATCCCTTCCTCCTCACCCTAACAGAAAGCTACATTCACCTGTCTTTGTGGTCCTGATCCCCCCCCTGCTTTGGCAACCCACTCTGGTTAATTCAGCTTTCCATTCTCTTGCTTCTTACCTCCAGTCTTTCCATAGAGCACCCCACAGAATGGTCCCTCTCCTTTCTATTCTGCTGTAGTTAGATTTTGATCTTCAGTTGAAGCCTTTAAAAAAACTTTTCTCTCTTCCCAGTCATCACCGTGTCTCCTTTCAGGACTGAGCAATGCTGCTGGTCACCAGAAGTGCTGGCTTGTCAGGGAGAACTTGGTTGCCATACCTACTGGGTACATTTTAGGTCTGAGGTTATTTACATTCTAGCTATTTGAAGATTTGAGACTGTTTCTTACCCTCCTTTCTTCAGCACCATTCTTTCTTGCCTTCTCTTTTCTGGCTACCCTTTAAGCTCATGCCCATCCTTTACTTAGTCAGTTGTTACCTGCCTTTCTTAGGATACCATTTGGCCAGTTGGCCTGCCTTCTTTCTCTGAAGATGATCATCTTCATGTGTTCTCCATATCCTTGTTTTGCTGTTCTAAGGGTAGGCTCCCAAGTTAATAGCTTCCTGGAACTGGATTGGACCATCCAAATCTGACCTCTGATTTTCTGTTTAGGATCTCATAAGATCCTCAGGTCCAGCATGCCAGACTGCACATGATATTCTCTCTGTCAACACTGTCCTTTCTTGTGAATTCCAGAAATGCAGACAGTTTTTGGGTTCTGTTTTCCTTGTGGACCCTTCTGGTAACCAAGTCTTGTTAGCTGAACTTTCCACACAGCTCTGAAGTCCATCCCGTCTCCACTAACCCTGCTCTCATTGCTGAGTTCTCCCTGCTCCTGTGGTTGACCTGTCCTGTAGCTTGATGATTCATCTTCCTTCCTTTAGACGTATATCTTTCATTACCATCCAGGCTGTATTACGGCTACCCTGTATACCACTGTTACTTGTGCCATCTGACATGTCTTTAGCCCAAAGTCCAAAACTCTTTAGTGTGATTACAAGGTGTTCATAATTGGGCCCTATAACATTTTCAATCCTTTATTACTGCACTAAATTTGTGTTCTCCACATAGCTATTTCTGGAATGTACCATGATTTAGTGCCTATGTACATGTGTTCTATACACATACATGTGTTTTCTTTACTTCTTTCCTTCTCTTCTACCTTTTGTATTCTCTGCAGTTAAAAATACCAACTTATCCACCCATGCATTATTTCAACCATTGATCCATACATGTCTATTCATTCATGTGTCCATCTATCTGTTTATCCATTCATCCATCCACCCAAATACCCATCCACCCATCTGCCAGTCTGTCCATTCATATACCCATCCTTCTATCATCCATCTGTCCATTCATCGGCCCACCCACCCATCCATCTACCCCACACACCCACCTACCTACCCACCTATCCATCTACCCCACCCACTTACCTACCCACCATACCCATCCATTTACCAATCCACACACATGTCCATCCATCCATCCATTAATTATCCATTCATTTACAGATATATCCCATACTAAGTATCTTGTATATTTGAGGACCAGTGCTCTTCTTACATGATCAGTCCTGATTATATCTCCACCTCCATGTAAACCAAGAATCTCCACTAATTATAGTCTCTTTTAGGCTTCTCTTAGTATTTCTCAGGACCCATTCTGCTTCCTGCTTGCACTCTGTTACCTTCTGTGTTGGTGAGTTCTTCAGGAGAAGACTCCTGAGTTTGTTCCATTTGCTCTTCCACAGAACCTGACAAACAGGCACAGTGCTATTTGCTAAGGGAGGAGTTTTAGTGCTTGAGCTCTGTCATAAGAGCAGGAGCAAAGGTCTTCAATTGGAAGTCCTATTGTACCCCCCCAGGGGGGTGTTTCTAATCTGAGTGTGAGGTTTGAACCTACCATCAGGGAGAGACACATATTCCAGACAGTCTCCTTGTAGATCCTCTTTTTAATTTTCTTCTTCCACTGTGCAGAAATAGAGAGGGAAGTCTGTAGAGACAAGAGTCTGCAGTGTTTGTAGAGACAAGTGACCGTGGGATTGTGAAGTGAATCTCTGCTCCAGATTTTGCTTTATCCCACTTCTTATTTTTGAGGAAGGTGAGTGGTAGGGAGAGAGCAGAGGTTCTGGGATCATGGAGAAGAGGGATTTTAAGACAGAAGACACAGTTGACATTAGAGTTTGGAGAGCCATGTTTTTGAGTTGAGTGTTTTGAGACTGCTGTGAGGAGAATTGTAAACTTATAGCAGAAGCTATGAGAACAATATGAGAATTGGCTTTCAGGATCAAATAATAAAATGTGGGAAAGTAGACCTAGGACTATTAAGACATGAAGGGAGAAAACAAAGAAATACTGAGTGCATGGCATGGCCTTGACTCATGTCTGTGCAGAAAGGTGTTGGGGGTGGGCCCTGCACTTAATGAATCTGAATTCTTCTTAATACCCAGGAAGATATCTATATCTACATATATGTATATACTATATATGTTTATATGCATGTGTATATATATGTGCATATGTATATATGTGTGTGTATTTGTATGTATATGCTATGAAAATTGATGAGTGAAAGAAAATTACTATAATTATGTTTGCCTGTTGCTGTCCAGCTACCTAATGGGAACTCACTCACTGTTGCTGAGGACTCCCACCAATGGCAGAGATCATTTGAGCTTGACATGGCAGCTCACCCACAGGTAGTCCTCCAAAAACTATTCAGATGAGTTGATTTACATGTTCAGATGATCAGAATATCAGTGAGGGATTGCTTTATAACTCAGTGAAGATAATTCACAGGGCCAAGAGAATGGTCCTCCACCCGTACAAGATTGAGGTCCAGTTTCCTCTTGGCTTTAACTGGGGACCTCTGGGTCATACATTTCATTAGCAGACTGTTTTATGGGCCGTGTTTTAACAATCTGTTGTTTTCTTTTCAGAAGGTAAGAGCAGCATCTGCTGGAGCCTTACCAAAAAGGAGGAATTCCAAGTTATTTTTAGGTAACACAGTTACATTGTGTCTTTGTCTGTCTTGTTGTCTTTTGTTGTCTCTGGTGACAGGGATGAGCTATGCCGGGTTAAACACTGCCTTCACTTTCCATTTCCCTGGCAGTGAAGGGTGCTTTGAGCATAGAGTGAGATCCCAGGCTTTGAAGCAACTATGGCAGCTAGAGAGAAATTGCAGTCCTGCTTCTGGTCTCTGTGTGCTTCCTGCATGTGTCTCTCTTTGTGTGTCTTGTTCTGTCTCTCACTGTCTCTGTTTTTGTATTGTCTCCTCCTTACCCCACCCCATGTAGCCCAGTGGTTGAGTTCATTGCTCTCTACCTTATTTTTGGGGATGGGGTCTCTCTCTGAAGCTGGAGCTCAGCAATTCAGTTAGACTGCTGTTAACAAGCCCCTGGGGCCCTCATGTCTCTGCCTCTCCAGCACAAGGATTACAGTCACATGCACACACTACTACACACAATTAAAATGTGCACAAGGAACCTCCCGGAGGCATTACCTATTGGCTTGGCCTACTAATATTAGCACCTATCAGTAGTTCTTGCTTGCAACATTGATTGGTAGTGTTGTTTGATATTCTTCATTAAGAAGAGCTAGTCTTGCTTATGCAAATGACTACTGATTTCTAACCATACATCTAGCCTAAGATTTGTTTTAATCATCTTCTATGATTTTTCTCAGCAATAAAAAATTATTTGATATTTCTGACTACATGTGTATGTGTCTGCTCAATGGCTATGGTTAGTATTTGAAAAGAATTTCAAAACTGTTTGCACAGTATGACTTCATTTTGGTAAAAAACAAGTGCATACGCTATATATATATATATATATATATATATATATATATATATGCATGCATGTCTCTATATTTGTATCTATACATGCATGTGTGTGCACTTATGTGGATGTAGCCACGTTTGTGTGTGCAGTGCACACACATGCACATATTTGACTGAAACTTGGCAGTGTCTAGGAGAACATACTGCAGATAGCTGACAGTAGCTCCTTTCTTAGGCTAAGAAGGTCCTGATTCTGGCTTTCTTTTTTGCTTATCCGTATTTAAATCTTTTGTTTGCTTGACACACAGTCTCGCTATATTGCCCAGGCTGATCTGGAATTCCTCCGCTTAAGTGGTCTTCCCATCTCAGCCTACAGTGTGCATCACCATACCCAGCTAGCTTTTCTCTGTTACTATAATGAAAAGACACTGAGCGATGCGGGTGGCTCAGTTGGTACTGTGGCTTGCCATGCACACATGAGAGCTTGAGTTTGGATCCTTGGCAACAACAACCACATAAACATCAGGTGTGGTGGCACATCTGTAATTTCAGCACTGGGGGCAGGGAGCACAGAGAGGACGGCGAATCCCTGGAACACACTACACTGTCCAGCCAGCCTAGTTGAACTAATGAGATCCAGGTTTAGTGAGAGACCCTGTCTCAAAAACAAAGTAAGGTTGAGAGGGATCAAGAAAGATACCCGATGTCAATGTCTGGCCTTCACCTTGCACGTGCAAACATGTATGAGCACACGTGCGTGCACACACACACACACACACACACACACACACATTCAACACACACATTAACTATTTGAGAAGTGAAGCAAGGTTTGCCTCTTGGCTTGGTCCTCAGTACTGTGTGCCCCCCCCCCCACCCCCAACTCCCTCTGCCCAAGCCAGGGTGTGTCTTCTCTCCAGCTCCCAGGCCTGCAGTTTTCTTGAGGAGAATCATCTCCAGATTCTTTGGAGTAGCTTTGCTTCACTGGCCACCTTTTCCTTTACACAGCTCACCCTGTACCTCAACCCCCACCTACCAAGCAGACAAACAACGAAGCCAGTGGGAAGTAGCTTAAAATTCACTCCAGGGTTGAAAGGGTCAAGTGCATGGCCATGCTTGAGTGATTGATTGGTCTCCTGGTGCCTGTCACTGTTTTCTGGAATGTGACATTTGCCAGTTAAATGACACCAGTGATGACTTTGTGGAGGCAGAAGTCATTAAACAATCTGATGCTGTTGTTACTGTAGTTTCAGTTTTTTTTGAGACAGGGCCTCATGTAGCCCAGGCTGCTCTCAAACTCACCACAGTAGAGGCTGACCATGAACTTCTGATTGTGCCAACCCCATCACCTAAGAGTTAGGGTCCCTGGTGTGTGCCACCATGTTCAGCTTTTTACACTAAAACAAAACATTTTCTTTGCTTGCACAAAGGAGTTAGCTGACCTCTTTGCTTTCAACTGTGGTATTGAAAGATTTTGAGGTTTTATTTTTCTGGCAATTATTTTGATTGCAAAAGCTATTGTCAAGTAACGGTTTTAAAAATAAATGGGAAGGCAGCCTCTGAGGCCTTGTTGCTGCCCACCGCTGCAAGCTGCATTCTGTGCTTCCTCAGCAGTCAGAAAACCGAAGGCTTTTCAGAAACAGGTGCACTGGATGACCCCACTCTTGTGCATGCCCAATACAAGCATCCATAGCTGCGGAGAGTGTGATTGCAGTGGCTGTGCCATGCCCGAAGGATGGCACTTCATAGCTCTTCTGTCTTCTTAGGTTCTTGTTGCTTTGTCTTCTGCAGTGTTCCCCAAGCTTTGGTGAATATGTTATAAATGTCTTGTCCAGGGCTGATCAATTCTCTGTCAGGTATTTGCATTACTCACATCTCCACCATTCACTGGAAAGAGAAGCTTCTCTTGACTAGGTCTGAGAGTAGCATTTGTCTATGGTTATAAATACAAGTATTTGTGTGTCATGCTAGCTAAACAATAGTATTCAGTTCCCCTGTGTGGCCTGTGATATCCCCATCCATACTTAGAGAGCCAGACATGGACTCCCTCCTGTGGAGTAGACCTCTCCTTCAATCAGGTAGTGGCTGGTTACCTGTGTAAAAGTAATACCCCCTTTGATGTTTTTGCTTGTTGAGCACAACATCATATTTGCATCCTGAAGCATCTTTAACAGATGTTGGTGTCCTGTGTACTATATGCTGTCAAGAGGCTTCAGGACACCAATACATGAGATCTGGCATGATGGAGGCATTTAATACCTGTTCCCTTTCTCTAAGCTTAACTTTCTAGATGCATGGGAAGTCCCCATCTTCTCCACACTCAGGAGATATAGAAGAGCCCTACATGACACCGTGATCTTTCTGAAGCTTATGTCAGCTTTGCTTCAGAGCTGGCCCACCCTGGGGTATGTGCAGAGGCTCCTTGTTATTAGTGGTTTTTCTGCCAGCCTGGTCCCATAGCCACGCCAGCCTCAAATAACATACAGAGACACTATATTAGATATAAAGCTGTTAGCTAGCTCTGTCTTAAATATTAACCCATTTCTATTAATCTAAGTATTTCCACATGGTCTTATCTCACTGGGAGAGGATCTGGAGTTCTGCTCTTTTGGTCCTACATGTTGAATCGCCTCCTACCTCTTCCCAAATTCTCCTTATCTCCTAGTCCCACATATCTTGCTTTCCTATTGGCCAACAGTGCTTTATTCATTAACCAATAAGAGAAACATATTTACAGAATGACACCTCCCATTAGCTCCTCATGTTATTTGTTAGGAATTTAGAGATGAGGAGGACTCTGGTGGTGTAGGCAGTCACCTATAGTGGCTCTAGAACACCTCAGATCTGACCCAAGGTTCCTGAAGACCTCATTCTGTGGGATCTACTTACCTGTCCAGTAAGTAACTCACCCAGAGTTACATGCTTAGCAAATGCTAGAGCAGGGCTTTTCCTTTCACTTTATTTATTCAGGGAAGATAATATTTGAAGTAGCATTAACTGAATGTGTTCTCTATAGGAAAGAAGTAAGTAATATCTTGTGTGTATGGAGTCCATTCACAGAAGCCTAAGATTTACACTGTATTCCTTAAGGCTGTTATATGCACAGCACATTAATAATAAAGGAGCACGAAGTGGAACAACTCATTTGAAACTTTTCTTTCCTCGGTTATTTTTCTTCCTTTTCAGTTTTTGTGTATGGAAATAATAGAAAGCTGTCTTTGCCTTGAGGGTCCCATGCTATTTATTTTCATTGTTATATGGAGGAAATGTTTCTATACTTCTTCTGTAGTACTGAACTGACCATGTTTCTCATTGAACATTTTTTGTTCTAGATGGTGGAGCCTCAATCTTTTATGGCATAGTCTCTCAGTGAGGGTTCCTATTGCTGAGGCACTATGACCACAGCAACTCTTTTTTTTTTTTTTTAAATTTGAATTAGAAACAATCTTATTTTACATTTTACAGTTCCAGTCCCCTGTCCCTCCCATCTTCCCACACTCCCCGCTGACCCCCCATCCCATCCCATCCATCTTCTGCTCCCCAGTGAGAGTGAGGTCTTCTGTGGGGGACCATCAAAGTCTGTCACATCATTTGTGGCGGGGCCTAGGCCTCCCCCCCCCCCCCAAACAACAACTCTTACAAAGGAAAATATTTAATTGGGTGGCTTACAGTTCAGAGGTTTCGTCCATTATCATGGTGGGGTATGGTGGCATGCAGGCAGACATGTGCTAGAGAAGGAGCTGAGAATTCTGCATATTGATTCACAGGTAACAGTAAATGAACTGAGACATTGGGCATAGCATGAGCATGTGTGAGACCTCAAAGCCCAGCCTCACAGTGACACACTTCCTACCAATAAGGCCATACCTCCTAATAGTGGCATTCCCTTTTGGGGCCATTTTCTTTCAAACCACCACAGATGGGCTACAGTCAGAGGCAGGCACACTGTTGTTTAAGAAAATGTGTATGAAACAAAGGAATTTAGTGTTTTATCTTAGGTCCTAACATTTGCAAATATTTAAAAATAAAACAATCAGAAAAATCTGGAATTTGGACATTAATGGTCTTTTTTTTTTTTAATTGTCTCCTTTCAGTAAGTTTCTTGAGTTGTTTCCTAAACTACTAGACTCTCCTTTGAAACTGCCTTTTGTTATGTCAGTAATTTGTAACGTTGGAGTCTTTGTTTTGGTGACTCTTAGGATTTAGAGTCTTTTATTATGTTTGGGTTATATTTTTGCTGTCTTATTTTTTGCTTGACATGGTCCTACTTCTGAGAGTGAAAGCCTGCTCCTGCTCCTGAAAGTCAGAGCTGTGCCTGGAAGTGGAGCAGGGTTAAAGGTAGTGATGGAGTTTAGACCCTTGCTTCTCAGGTGCCTGCTGCTGTGTAGCCCAGTATTTTCTTCTGTCCACAGAGTTCATTTGTTTGTGTGGCTTTGCAAGTGTATGGAACATCACTTCACTGTTTTTCATTGCCATAGTCCCAAACATATAAATACAAACATGACCTGGAACGTTGGCATCCTGTGAGGGCAAGGCTGTGCTGTCCATGGAAATATTATGACCACACATTTCCTTGAGCTGTCACCTAACCTTTATGAATGATGAGCCAAGCTAGCACAGAGGGTGGCCTGGCAGAGGGTGGCCCAGAGAGGCCTGTTTTCCTTGCAGAGAATTCTCTAGGACAATAGAACTGCTCACATGATGGCTTCTTCTGGCTCTCGAAATTTCAACCGCCATTAGAGATGGGGAGAACAGAGAGAAGGAAGAGGCCATGAGGGGGATTTCTAAGTAACAGCTACTGTCTGTTGGAGCCCTATCTTGCGCTGGACCTCTTCTCTACCATGTGACATGTCTCTCCTTTGTGAGAGGAGTGCTACCCTTTCCATGCTGAACGTGACAGAAGTACTCAGGTTAGAGTTTGTGATTTCCTTAAGTTGTACTACATGTGTGGACCAGCAGTAAAGCCAGCTTCATCCACTCTCAAAACCATGTGCTTTTGGGTGGGAGAGATGGCTCAGCTAGTAAAGGGCTTGTTGTACAAACACCGGGACCCGAATTGGTCCCCAGACAGGTGGTATAGGCGTGTAATTCTGGCACTGAGAAGGCCAAAACAGGCAGCTCTCTAGAACTTACTGGACAGCTAGTCTCACTGAATCAGTGAGCTCCATGCCAGTGAGAGACCTTCCCCCAAAATACACGATGGATGGCTCCTGAGGAATGATACCTGGGGTTGACCTTTGGCCTTCAAATGCACACTTTCACGCACACACACAATTTACTTTCTTTGTTCTGGCGAAATTATGGCTCTACACTCATAGTGGAAACATCTGTTTCTTTAAAGCCTGTACATTCAGTTCTTAGCTTGGCTGCCCACTCTGTGTGTCTTTATGATGCGGCCTGTCATTGATAAGTAAGTACACACCTCTCAGGAAAGATGGCAGGGTCTAGAGTGGGACAGGAGGATGGTCAGTTCTGTCAGGGTTGGATCCTGTCCTTGGTGTTTTAGCCCTGTGGATTTCCTTCCTATGAGTGTTGCCTTGGCATGGGCCACTCTGTCCTCACTTCTTTTCTTTGTTTTTATTCTCTCCTCAGATCTAGATATGGATGATGATTTAAATAGTGATGACTATGAATATGAAGATGAAGCCAAACTTGTTATATTCCCAGACCACTATGAAATAGCCCTTCCAAACATTGAGGAGTTGCCAGCCCTGGTCAGTAAGTGTGCACGTGGCTGTATGTTAAGTGTGTGTGTGTGAGTGTGCATGTGGCTGTATGTTGTGTGTGGGGTGGGATGGGGTGTGGTGGGGAAGGCTGGTCCAGAAGAAGAGGATAAAATGGAGCAAAAGCTGGATGTGGTGGCACATGACTGTGATCCCAGCACTAAGTAAGGATGCTGAGGCAGAAGAACTGTGAGGTTGAGGCTGGCCTGGGCTAAATAGTTCAAAGCCACCCAGGGCTACATAGTGAGACCTGTCCCAAAAAGCAAAACAAAAGCCCCAAATAAATAAATAGAAACAGAGTGTGAACAGGAGTGTCTGTCTCCTCTGAAGTCCCACAGAGTGGCCTTCCTTTATTGTGCACCCCCCCCCCCATTTTGGTTTTGTTGTCCATGAGGCTGGGCTCCTCTAGGCTGGGCTGACTCCAATGTCCTAGACAGTGTGTTGCTGGGATTGTCCAAGAATGCGCCTCACAGGTGCTGGGACAGCTGGAGAGGGACTGTGTTTTTGTTGGAAGGATGACAGTGTGTTGCCCTTCCATGTAAGATTTTGTTTGGAGACTAGAAGAGTTTGTCTGCTGGAGCAGCGGGAGCAGCAACACAGTTGTAAAAGAACCAGCTGCTCACGCAACCCGGCCTGGGGAGCATCGAGAAGACATGCTTGCCTCTGCTTCGATCCTCCAAGGACCAAGATAGCTCTTGTACTCTCAGTGTCCATTTCATGGAAGTGCTTGCTTTTCCTGGAGGAGCTGGGAGCTGGGTTGGTGGCAGGATGGGGAAGCTGTCCATTGCTTTTGTTTCTGGAGTTCACAGAGTGGTCACAGTGTGACCCAGGGTGTCCTTGCTCCTCCCTTGCTTCCCGAATAGCTTCCAACTCTGTGTCCCTTCTCACCTCGTGCATGGATACCTCTGTTTCCTATAGTCTGATAGCAGTGGGGCAAATTAAGACATGCCAGTTCATATTTTCCCCTCTTCAAATTCCACTAGAACAAAAGCCAGACCTGTGGCTCCCAGAAACTTGTGACCCTGACCAGCGAGAAGCAGCCACTCACTTGATCCTACCAAAGGGTTGTTTGACCTTAGAATCTCCAAATTCAGAGGGACTAGGTTTCTAGGGTAACCTATTTTCTCCTGATCTATCATACAGCTAAATTTAAGACCATAGAAATAAGAGTGCTGTTCATCCGATGGCTGCAGCCCTCCCACTTACTAAGTATAAGGAATCCTTTTCCATATGAGTGTTCAGCGAGGCTTGTGGAAATGAATTACTTTCATTTCTCAGATTCCCCATGTTGTCTCATATGGCTGTTACCATGAGTAAATACGATAGTGGAAAAAATGGTTGGAATATGAAGTGTACCAGCACTTGTGTCTCTAACGCTGAGTTGTTTTATTTTATGTGTATTAGTGTATTTCCTGTATGTAAATGTGAAGGTGTCAGATTAGCTGAAACTGGAGTTAGAGATGGTTGTGAGCTGCCTTTCAGGTGCTGGGGATTGAACTGGGGTCCTTAACCCAGAGCCATCTCTCCAGCCCCAATGCTGAGAGTTCTTACTGCTCCAGTTCAATATAATTCTGGTTTTGCTGTAGGAAAGGAAGTAAAAAGAGCATATTATAAATAAATGTCATGAAACATTTTCACTTATTCACTTTTTTATATGAAAGTATTTATGTGAAAAATGTAAATGTTAAGAAAAAAGCCTCAACCAAGGCCTAGTGAGTCAAGCTTGTAATTCCACACTGGGGAGGCTGAAGCAGGAGGCTGGCTAAGAGTTCACTGCTATAGAGTAAGAGATGTCTCAAACAAACAAACAAACCTTCCCCAAACACAAAAACAAATGAAGATCCACCCCCTATACACTACTGTTAAATCATTCCTTTATTTAGAGTGTAAATAGAAAGATATAAGTGTGTAAAGAAATCCCAAACTAGCAATATACATCAAAATCTTCTATAACAGTTTTAGAGAATACTTCAAAATGAAAAATTGAATAAAATGTCTTTAAGAAATAGTTTAAAAACAGAAAACAAAAGAACTCTGAAGGTAGGTGGGCCGGTTTCAAGGAAAGCCTGGGCCTGTGTGTCTGATGCTTTGGCTACACCCAAGCCTCTAGCCACTTACTTTTCACTTTTCATGCATTTGCTACATTTTTAGTGCTGGGGGATTTTCTTTTGAACTTTTAAACTTAGAAAATTCTTGGTCTAAAAGAAGTGTTCAACATCTCTTGGGTGTGTCACTATAGAACACTTAGTTACCCTGTGAGTCCTGCCAGAGAGGCAGACCACCCCGGGGAGGAGGGGCTCACAGTGGTGACCCCAGAGCCTGGAATGTGTGCCTTCTACCTAAGGAACTTAGGCAGTAGTGTGCAGTGTGTGTCCTGCTCAGTCGCTCTTCGTGGAGCAGGCTGCCCTGCGCGTGCTGAATGCCGCAGTAGACTCGCATTATAGGCAACTCCAGGCCGACAAGGAGACAACTCTGGATGTGTTGGGAAGAAAGACTACTGTTTGGAATTTGCCACATGCAACTAACTCAAATGTAAAAACACCAGGAGTGCAGAGGTAACTGAAAGTTACAGTAAAGGATCGGAGTTTGAATATGTGGACTTCTCAAGGGTAATTATTGTTAAGTAATTTAATTTTATTTATGGTTATGTTTAGCAAGTGTCTAGCAAAATTTCTTACTTTTTTCCTTTTATTTTTCAAATTACTTGCTAAATTTAAAACATAAACTTAGGGCTAGGTGTGTGGTTCACTGGCAGAGTACTGATTATACTGTGGAATGGCCTTTTGTTTTGTTTTGCTCTGAGACAGGTCTGTGCCACATAGCCTAGTGGCACTAACCAACCTTCATCTCTCTGGCTCACTCCTCTCCTTGCTAAGGTAACCACCAGACAGCTAAACATAATGGGATTAACTTTTTAATGTTCCACGCAGGAGTATGAGCATATGGTACTCTATTTGTGTGCCTGGCTGACTTTATTCAACATAATCATCTTTACTTTTATGTATGCTGTAGCATACATAATTTTGTTACTCTTCATGGATATGCAGCATTCCATTGTATGCGAGCATCACATTTCTTTTCCTCAGTCATCAGTTGATAGGCACTCAGTTTTTTTTTCTCTTTTTTTGCCTATTGTGAATAGCATGTGACAAACAGGGATACTGAATTTCTTAACATTTAACAATCAATTCTCAGGGGCCAGTTTAACTCACTCAGTTCCAGGGAAGCCTCTGAGATTTGAGGTGGAGTCCAGGTCTCCTCACTTCACTCCATCATCAACACAAGGGGAATGAACTCAGTGTAGTTATAGGATCGCCAGCTTGACCCCAGTCATGACCTTGAAAAGGATGATTTCAGGACACACCAGGCCAGTTTTTTTTTTTTTTTTATGGTGGCCCCAGGAGCCTGAGGAAATTTTGTTGAATGTCTCCTGAGCAGATATTCAAAGAAAAAAGATTTTATCTGACTTTTGTAAGTCAAACCCCTTGTCATCGATGTGTGGAGAAAGTACGTAGGAGGATGGTGCACTCTCCAGGCAGCTGGGAAAACAAGCTGCTGCAGGTAATGGGAAGCTGCACTGAGGACATCAGTTGCTGGGGTGAGAAGCTAAGGGTCCAGGCATGGAATCTGCCAGGTGGTGGGAGATGTATAGTGATGGTTGACAAGATAGCTCACTGAGGTTGTATATGTGACAGGAAGAGTAGGAGTGTCCATTTTGAAAGGTCTAACTATCCACTCATGCCCAGTTATGCTCTCTGAGCCCCCATAGAGTGTCACTCACATTTTCCCTTCAGGATATATTTTCCAGATTTATTCATATTGCATCGTATATTGGGAGCCTGTTTCTTTGTATTGACAAAATTCTATTGTGTGAACATACTACATTTGGGGTTTTTTTTTTTCATATTCTATTTATCATCGATAGGCATTTAGGTTGCCTTCACTGAAATGCTATTAATCCATTCTCTTGTAACTACATGTTTCACGTATATTGGGTTTATCTCTAGCTGTTGATCTGCTGGGCCCTGTGGCAATTGTTTGATCACTCAAAGAACGACTGGACTGTTTTCAAAGCTGCTGTACTGTTACTTTCCAGCAGAATTTAAGTTTTATAGGAGCTAGAGAATAGCTTGCAGCATTAGGCATATGTGTGAGAGAAAGCAGAAGGCATCAGGCAGGGCTTCACACCTCTGCTTGTGAGTGGACCCAGGTAGCACAGGCATCATCTCTGCATTAGACTAGGAAGTGGAGCTGTGCTGCCTGCATCCCACTCAAGTGCCCTTGACCCCATGTCATGTGAGTTGAGGATATTGGATATCTTGGTCCACGAGGAGGAAACTCAGCCTTCTGGCAGATCCTGGGCACTCCTGTTCCTAACTTGCTCCCTTACCCTTTCACCCCATTTGCTAAGTGATAGGGATTATTCCATGTGAACACTAAGCTTGAGCTGATGAATGCAGTTTGCTTCCTTGCTCTCATATCATCGTCAGCATCCCCCAGCCCTGTGCCTGGGTCAAATCTAGGCAGGTTGAGGGGAACGGGCCTCACTGTGGTGTAATTAAATTTCTGAAGAGAGGCTGCTGCATTTCTTTATAAGCTTCCAGGTTCACTTCTAGAAGCTGAGTTTTCAGTGTTCTACCTGGCTTTGCCTCATAGGTAACAATTGCTTGTGATGCAGTGCTCAGCTCCAAGTCACCTTATACAAAGCAGGATCCAGACACGTGGGAAAATGAACTGCCAGTATCGAAGTATGCCAACAATCTCACCCAGCTGGACAATGGGGTCAGGATTCCTCCCAGGTGAGTGTCTGCTAGCAAAATGGAACTTTAGCTCCCAAAACTAGTCAAAGCAACATCTGATTTCTACTTTTCTCTGAATTAGCAGTTTTATATTATCTTAGTAGATGCCTCTCATTACAGGCCCAATAAAAACTTGAAATTGCTAATAGAAATTAGTCAGGGTCCAAAAGACAAAATCCCTCTTTTCTCTCATATATGGACTTAGAGTTAAGTGTTTACACATATATACACATATGCACATGTATATTTGTGTATGAAACTTGGAAGGGGATCATGATGACAGGAGATCTTAAGCGATGGAATAAAAGAGGACAATGGAACACACATGCTATGAAAGCGGAAGGGGAAATGTGGCATGAGGGGGCTGTGGAGGAAGATTTATTAGAACAAACGATAATGATCCACATGCATGGGATGTCATGACGAGACCCACCATTTTGTATGTTTACTTTGAAAGCTATTTTACAAAAGAAAGTTAGAAAGAAAAAAACCTAACAAAGGTAAACTTCTTTCCTGATATACCTGGACCTTTGCTGTAGGGGCTGAGCTCTCTCAGCCCTAAGCCCAGACCCTGCCCTGCAGCAAAGCTGGTGTTTGCACACACATGCAGCTCTGCACAGGGACTTGCACTTGGCAACACGAGCTATGCAGTACGTGGGATGGTCAGACATGCCAGCTGACATTCTTGATTCTTGTCCTCTGGGACCACACACTGTCAGTAGAGTGGTGGATCAACACTCAGCCTCCTGCCCCCTTGGAGAACACTTATCCGCTGCTCCTCATCAGGCCTGAGCTCCAGGTCTCCACGGTGGTCACTTGGTGACATATCTTGTGTTGGCTTCTGCTTTTTCTTATTTGTCACCCCCATTCTGCTGGGATCAGCATCCACACATCCAGATCTATGTGTCTCAGTTAATTCTAGGGGACCCGACTTGACACAATGCTGGCTGTCTCCAGTGGTTAGAATGCTCTTTGGGGCTCAGTAGCGTCTCTGCAGACAGATCTCACAGGGAATGAGCAGATGGTGCTTAGGAATATGTCCAGTTTCGTTGACCTGACACTGCACTGCTGTCTGTTTTAAGAAAGCAGTTTTGGAGAAAGCACATCGATGCTGGGCCTCGTTTTCTCCCTCTGTAGAAAGGAGGATGGTGACACTAATACTGAGCAGAATTTTCTAGAATTAGATGATAGAACTTTCTGCTAGCCGTTTGACCCATAACTGACATTTAGTATTCATTTTGGGTCATTTATTTTTCTTAATTTAGGAATGTAGTGTTATAGGGTATGGCAGTCATCTTTTAGAGCAAACACTTGGGATAGGTCAGCTATTAACGGGGAAAGTTGGTCTTGGTTCATGGTTTTGGAGGCATCACTCATGGTAAGTTGGCCCATTTTAGTCAGTGGTGGTACAGCACATCAGCTGTGGTACCTGTGGTGGTTCAGGCTGGTTAGCTCATGGTGGGATGAAAGGAGAGGGAAGTGGGCATCTTGAGTTCTAATGTTCTCTTTGAAAGTATTTCCCAGTAGGTGCTGGACTGGTGGTTTTGGTTAAGAGCACTCGCTGCTCTTGCAGAGGACCTGGGTTTGGTTCCCAGTGCACACATGGCAGCTTAAAACTGTAACTCCAGTTCTAGGGGATCCTGTGTCGCCATCTGGCCTCCACTAGCACCAGGCACACACACAGTGTACTTATATACATGCAGGCAAAACACCTGTACACACAAAATAATAAAAGTAAATAAATCTTAAAAACAAAAGGTACACCCAATGAACACAAAACTTTTTCTTCGGCTGTATTTCTTTTAAAACATTTTATCAAAGTATATTAATTATACATAATAAAGGGTTTCACATTTCATTGCTGTTTTAGTTTCTGTTTCTGTGATTAAAAAAAAAAAACCACCATGGCCAAAAGCAACTTGTGGAGGAAAGGGTTTATTTCAGCTTACACTTCCAGGTAACAGTCCATCACTAGGGAAGTCAGGGCAGGAACTCAAATCAAGCAAGGCTGGCACCTGGAGGCAGGAATGGAGCAGAGACCATGTAGGGATGCTGCTTTCTGGCTTGCTCCTCAAGTCTTGCACAGCCTGCTTTCTTCTACACCTCAGGACCACCTGCTCAGGGATGGCCCCATCCACAGTGAGTTAGGTCCTTCCACATTGATCATTACTTTGCCCTATATGCACGTTTGCCCACAGACCAATCTTATGGAGGCCTTTATTTGACTGACGTTCCCTATTCCAAAATAACTTGAGCTTGTATCAGTTGACATAAAAACTAGCCAGCACTATTATGATGTTTTCATACATGTGTATAACTGTTGTGCTCACATTCACTCCTGTTTACCCTCTGTTATCCTCCTGCCACTCCTGTGGATCCCCTTCCTCTTCCAAACTAGCCCCTTCTACTTTAATGACTTCCTTCTTTGGGACTCCATGAGTTTAATTAGGGCTGTTCAGAGGAGAACAGGTGAAAGGTTATGTATGGGAGCAATGGCACATTACCAGTGAGTACACCACTGAAGAAAATGTTTTTCCCTTCAAGAGCTACAGTTGCCTGTAAGTTCTCAGGGAGGGGCAAGCCCCATGAGTGTCTTCCTACTCCATGATGGAATGGGCCCAATCTTGTAGTCACAGCCACTATGAATTCAGGAGTGCGGTGGCTGTGTCATGCCAAGCAGACAGCATTTCCTGGACACCGCACTTCTCATATGCTCTCTGCAGTAGTCTGAGCCCTAGAGGAGGTGATGTGGATGCCCCGGTATGGCTGGGCATTCAGCAGTCTCTTGTTTTCAGCATGTTGACCACTTATTAGTCCCCATGGGCCCTGCTGCCCACTGCCCACTGCATAGGGGAGCCTCCTTGACTAAAGCTGACTGTACCAATAGTCTAAAACCCCAGACATAAATATCTAGACAACTATTTTACAGGTACATTATGTCCGCTTGCAAATTCTGCTTGTTTTATAATGCCACACTGAAAAATGTACCTTTAATGTACAGGACTTCCTGGGACATGCCCAAGTTGGACTATAGCAAAGTTTTAGTCCACATCAGTTTTACTATATGGGTAATGCTTTGAAAATGTCTTTCACATGGCATCCTTCATGTTTGCATGGCTCCCTATTCAGCAGCCACTGTCCTGCAAGGGGGAGTTTGGAGGACATGGCCTCTTTCTTGCCCTTTGTATCATGGGCCAGTTTTCTACAGAGCCATGCTCGAGGCGCTGACAGTCTCTGGCCCAGTGTGGGAGGCAGGCAGGGCACTGGTCCTGTGCTCTGGATGGGGAACTATGATTTCTTGGGGTGAGAACCTGGGAGAAGTGATGCCAGTAGGAGGCGCTGTTCATGTTTTCACATGACAATGTTTTGCTGATGTGCTAGCTGTTCTGACTGTTCTCTGTGACTTTCTAGTGGCTGGAAGTGTGCCCGGTGTGACCTGCGGGAGAACCTCTGGCTGAATCTGACTGATGGCTCTGTTCTGTGTGGGAAGTGGTTTTTTGACAGCTCCGGGGGCAATGGCCATGCACTGGAACATTTCAGAGACATGGGCTATCCTCTGGCTGTTAAGCTGGGCACCATCACGCCTGACGGAGCAGGTGAGTCTGGCTTTGCACGGCTGGCATCTCACATTTATCAGCCCACCCTAAGACCTGGGTCTAGCCTCTTACTCATTGTGGAATGGTTACTTGAGATTCCTCATCTTGAGGGCGCCAATGGAGCTTCTCTTGTGTTTATTCACCAGCTTAAAACATCAAGCCCAGTGGTGTTCAATAAGGTGCGAGGAAAATTAGCTGCCATCATTTCTCTTATTGTTAAGGGGGCCCAAGCAGGAAATAGGATCTAGGAAGTGAATGTGCATATTGAATCCTCTGTTAAGAGGGTAGAAGGTAGCCCTAGAAATCATTGTGGACATTATTAGTACCATTTAGGGATGAATAGTATGAGAAATCAGTGAGGCTGGAGAGATACCTGGCTCAGTGGTAAAGATGCTACAACCAAGCCTGACAGCTTAATTACCAAACTGTTTGATTCCAGGGACCCACACGGTAGAAGGAGAGAGATAACTCCCACATGCTGTCCTCTGATCTCCATATGTGTGCTGTGTCATGCAAGAGTGTGTACCTGAAAATACGTGTGTGTGTGTGTGTGTGCACTCATGCACACACACTTGCACATGTGTGTGCATATGCATGAGTATGCATAAACACAAAATAGAGATAGATAGATAGAAATGTAAAAACAAAACAAATAAAATAACTTCCTGTGTTATGATCCCCAGCACTGATGCTATCTTCAGAAGGTTCAGCTCCCAGCCTGGACAGCCAGCCGTGCTGTCTTTCTCTGTTCTTAAGTCATCTCTAAATGGTTAGCTTTGGACTACATCTGTACACCTCATCTACTCCTCCTACCATTTTGTGATAGAAAAGGGAAGTAATGCCAGGTCAAGGCACACCACTTAAACACTGAGCAGTGGCTATGGGCTATTTTGGCTTATATTTCCACATCATGAGTGGTTCATAATTGGAAGTCAGGACAGGAACTCAAAACAGAATAGGAACCTGGAGGAGGCAGGAGCTGATGCAGAAGCCATGGAGGGATGCTTCTGACTGACTTGCTTCTTATGGCTTGCTCAGCTTGCCTTCTTATAGAACGTAGGACCACCAGCCCAGCGATGGAACCAACCATGATGGGAAGGGCCCTCCCCAATCAGTCACTAATTAAGAAAATACCCTCCAGGCTTGCCTGCAGCCTGATCTTATGGAGGCATTTTCTTAAGTGAGGCTCCTTCCTCTCAGTGTTAAGTTTATTGAAAACTTTGAAAGTCCAGCTTCTAAAATTTCCATTTATGGTTTAAAAAAAAAAAAAGGAACTACAAATAAGTGAAGCAACTGCAAATAAGCGAAGGGACTAAAATCTAAGGGAAAGGGAACTGCCTCCCACTCAATTGCTCCTCGGCATGCTTTTTTATTCTTCTCTTTCTCTGTCTCTCTGTTTCTTTGCTTTTCAGTCTCTCTTTTCTGTTTCTTTGTCTCTCCCCCATTCTTGGGTTACAGGTATATATACACGTTTGTAATAGTAATTCTTTTTACAATACAATGTGAGGCTTGAGTTTCTCATGGCCAGTAAGGCAGATAAAATTTATATGCAGAACAATACACTAAAACTGCTAGGAGAAATTTTTAGCATCAGTTACTTAGGGCTGTAGGTCAAAGAGAGGGTCTAAGTTCAATTTGCACACGAAATAGAACCTGGCGCCTTTCAAGCTCTGTGACAACATGAGTCTCCAGGAAAGTTTACTTTTCCCTAAGGATAAGCAAATGTCTTTATCTTCTCCGGGGAAACACAAGCAGTAAATATCTGAGCTAAAATCTTGAGTTAGTACAAGAAGTTTGAGAATCTTTTAGTATAGGGTTAGTTTAGGTTATTGCTTCTCTTTCTGCCAGTGACTTAAAGCTAAGGCCATGCTTATTTTTTTCTACCTATCTAGGCAGATATGAATCAATAACTTTGGATGTGTAATAATTCTGTGTCCTTGGATATCTGGGAATGTCTTTTTAAAGGATGCTTTTGCCTGGGCCCTAAGAACTGACTAAATGCCTGTCAATAAAGATAATTGCAGGAAGGCAGATCTCTGCAAGTACAATGGAGAGGGGAACAAGGACCTGATAGTGGGAAATAGGTCTCACATATAGCTAAAGAATATAATCAGTGAACTAGGACCTGTTAATGGAGAACAGGTATTTACACATAGCTAGGGAGTGTAATTAGTAAAACTCCAAATGCTTGGGAGAAATTTGTTCCCAGTAAATGATCAGATGGTGCTGAACTGTGGGAAGTAAATCTCAAATTGGTTGCAAAAGGAATAAGCTATAGGACGAATCTGCAGCAAGAAACAGCCACTTCATTCACGAGATTATAAAGCCAGGTACAGCTTTGTACTGGTTTCATCCATCAGGAGATTCCTTAATTCTTTGGAGTTATGTCAAGATAGATGGTTGCATAATTACTGTGTGATCTTGCGGCTTGTAGCACAAGTTGACATAAAACTAGTCGGCACAGACGAGTATATAAAAAACCCGGTTCTCAGGACAATCTGATTGAGATGGCTTCTCTTGTCAACTTGACAGACCCTGTGGCATGTTTGCGTGGGTTTTCCAGCTTGGGTTAATTTAGTGGGAAGACTGACACTGAATGGGACCACCCCAATGGGTCCTAAACTACAAAACAAGGAGAAAGCAAGCTGGACAGCAGCATTCATCCCTGCCTGCTACCTGGCTGTGGGTGCCATGTGACCAGCTGCCTCACACTTCTGCCTCCATGACTCATTTTCTTCCTTAACCCACCTTTGTCAGACGTTTTGTCACAGTATTGACAAGGGGCTATTCAGCACCAGCACTTCACATATCTGCAAATGTGGGTTATTTACAACTCTAATCTGTAGTGGGAGATCTAGCAGAGCCTTGCATCTGGCTTGGATTCCAGAGTGTTAGCAACTACCCTTTGGACTAGGTTTTGTGACATTATCTTTTTTACTAATACCTTTTTCTTTGAAGTGTTTGAATCTTAGCTGAGTTCTTCCTGAGGGGTTCAAGGCCTTTGCAAAACTTGATCATGAGAGGACTTGGAAAACCAAGAGTTCTCCTGACTGTTGCTTCAGCGTTTGCTTCCTTCAAATGACTCCAGAAAAGAGGTTTTGGTATGCAGAAATTGACTTGCTAAGGCATACATTGTTTAACCATGAAAAGGGCCTCATGTGAAGCAATGGGCAGTCAGTTCACCAGAGCTGGCTCCCCTGCTGCTCTGCTAAGTCAAAATTCACCTGCAGTGACCCTACTTCTTCCAGGACTGTCACAAAACAGAACACTGACACTAGTAGCTTCAAATAAAGGTTATGCCTCACTCATCTTTGAATTCTATACAAAACCGTAGGCATATTAGGCACAAATACTTTCGTTAACCAATTGATGAATAAATATTTAAATAATTAGCCTCTATTTAAGTGAGTCTGTCATGATAACACAGATTAATTCTCTTTTCTGTGTATCTTTTACATTTATTTAGTGTGTGGGTTCATGTGTGCATATGCAAAGTGTGTATGTGCACGGGTGTGCTGAGATCAGAGGTCGTTCTTGACTGTGGTTCTCCAGGCACCATTGCTGGTTTTTTGTTTTTTTTTTTTTTAAAATGACATGGCCTCTCTTTGACCTTGAGCATGCTGGGCCAGGCTGCTGGCCAGTGAACTCAGCCATCTGCCAGTTTCTACTTCTCCACTGCTGGGATTACAGCTCCATGCTCCCATGCTTGGCTTTCTTACACGTATTTGAGTATCAAACTCAGCTCCTCATGCTTGTGTAGAAGGCACCCTACCGCCTAAGGCATCTTCCCAGCCCCACATTTCTCTTTTTAAGTTGTTATCCTTGCAGTAACACTAGAGGTATAACTACAGTGACATCATTTCTCACACACTAGATGTGTAACTAGAATGACATTATTTCTCACACACTAGAGGTGTACCAGAATACCCCTTCCAACAAATCCTACATGACTTTGTTGTAACAAAAGTATTTCTCTGTCCTGCCAGCCAGCTCCCAAATAATGACATGGAGACTTATTAATTGTGAAAGCTTGGCCTTAGCTTAGGCTTATTTCTAACTAGCTCTTATAACTTAAATTGACCCACTTCTATGAATCTATATTCTGTCATGTGCCACCCTTCCTGCTTCCTCCATGTCTCCTTGAGTTTCTGCCTTTCTTCTTTGAGTACTTTCTGTCTCTGGAAGTCCCACCTAACCTCTTTCTAGCTATTGGCCATTCTACTTCTTATTATACCAATCATAGCAATACATTTTCACACAGTGTACAAATATTCCACAACATTTGGTTATTACTAAAAACCTTTGCAGATCTGCCATCTTTTTGAATTTGCTTTTTTTTTTTTTTTTTTTTTTTTAAGTGAGGTCAGTTTTAATTATATTCTTTATTTGATTTTGTTTTCAAGGTAAGGTCCTGGCTAACCTTGAACTTCTGACCATCTGGCCTCTAAATTTGAGTGTTGGGATTATAGGCATGTACCTTAACCTAGCTTTTCATTATATTCTTGGATATTTGTGTTTTTGTTTTAATGAAAATTATAGATTGTAGTGAGATAGTCCTTCTGTGGCACTGACCACGCCCATTGGGGGATGGAGCCATGGGCGGAAGTGACCTGTGGAAGGAGGTCGGAGAGAGAGCCTGGAAAAGCTCTCTTGCTGGCGTGACTCGGACAGGAAAGCATCGGGTGGAATTCCCTGGTGTTCATCTGTCTGGGTTGTAAGTTATTTCTCCCTGAATAAACATCTATTCGGCCTATTTGTTTATCCTGATCCTTATTTAACCGCAATAATAGATTATTTTTTTCTGATACAAGGTCTTGGTGCATATATGGCCCAGGCTGGCCATGAACTCACTCTGTGGCCCAAGAAGTGCTTGAACTTGTGATCTTCCCAAGCCTGCAATTATGCCGCATGTAGCATCTTAGGCCCCTTTCTTGTCAGTGTATGTGTAGGCATTTTTAGTAGGTTTTATGGACTCTTTCCATTCTTATTTGTCATGGCTG